CTATCTATCAATCATCTATCTATCTATCTATCTATCTATCTATCTATCTATCTATCTATCTATCTAATTTTATCCTAACAACAATCTGATGAGATAGTTTAGGCTGAGAAAAAGGGACGGCTTTCACCCAGCATTCTCTTTGACCAAATGTTGGTTTGAAGCTGGGTTTCCCTGATCCCAGCCTAGCACTTTATTTATTATAGCAAATTTTAATGGTTGTACAGCTTTGCTTTAATGGGCAAATAAAGGCATGGGCAAAATGTCTCTGGTGTCCCTTTACAAAGCCCCATATTTTATTACTTCTAAGGAAGGAATCACATTGGCTGTGGGTACACTTGTACACTTGAAGGCACACTTGTTTTTATTGTACAGAGATAACCATATATAAAAATGTAGGCCAGATACTTAAATAAATGCAAAAATACCCATACTCTATCCTTGATAATTTCCTCTTTTCTTTTGCAAAACATTCGAAAAAACTGAATAAGTTTTCCTGAAGAAGGTTTTTTTTTTTTTTTTTTCTGAAGAAGAACTAGTTAAACCTACAAAATGTCCTTCACATGTCTGATTTTCAAAAGGGATTCAAAATGTAGTTGAGATACTCAACCATCCCCATTCGTATGACGCATTGTATCACTAAGTGTGGGCAAACACAGGTATCATAATGTTGAAAAGTTATGTAACAGAAAAACAACACCATTGTAGTAGCATCTTCCCCCAGTTCCAAGACATAAATTAGTTCTAGGCTTTCTATGAGAAATTCAAATGATATTTTCAAGTATTCTGAAAAGAAAGTGCTGAAGTCTCTTTCATTGGTTGGGATGGGACAATTTCTTTTCAGAAATTTCAAGGCAAATTCCAGCACTGGGTTAATTTCTGTACTGAGAATGTCTTTTCTTTGCAATATATTTTCCCTCACACAGGGAAATACTAGAGCATATCTTAAATCTTAATGGATCACATTGAGAGTGATATTTTCCTAAAAGCAAAGAACAAAACATCCATGTAGATAAATGTATATCACAGCTTCTATTTTCAGAGAATGGGTTTGCATGTTTGATAATTTGTAGAGGTTTAAGTGGCTGGTATCTGTTTTGTTCTATTTACTCTTCTGATTTATGTCTCCTAAGATGGTAATCATAGCGTTTTCAAAAGTCCAGTGAAATTAACTAGTGACAAAGTGGTAGGTAATCTTCTGTGTTTGAATTAGATTACCCATCAGAATTTGGGCATTCCCACCACTAGCCAACATATAAAAGAGGGTAAATGAGAAGAAGCAATGTTAAGCTTGAGAAGAGGGCATGAAATGGATGGAAGGAGAATTGGACAAGTGAAGAAGCCAACAATTGGGTCAAGATCAAATAATGCATAGCCTACTTTTGAATATCTATACTTTAGTATAGAATTGAGGATCTGCTAGCCTGATCAGGACAATTCACACAACCCTCTTTTTGCAGCATTCAGAGCATCTCTTAATATTACTTCCAAACTGAATTAGCTTTATGAAAAAGTTAGTGCGTAGTTACTGAACTTAAAATTTAATGTAAACTGAAAGAAACTTAGTTTGGGGTTGAGTCTAGATCAATTCCTTGTTCCTTTACCACCCACTTTGGGGAAGTCAAACCCTATTGTGCTGCTCAAAAGCAAAATGAGGCCTCAGCATTCTTGCTGAATTGTAAGAGTTGTTCCAGTCAAAATCTGATATAACAACTATATTTTGATTCCCACAATGGATGAATGGCTGCAAAGGTAATGAAGTTAGCAGAGATGGCTAAACTGACTGCTTTGATTAAAGAAAAAAACCACAGTTGCTTTTTTTTTTCTACTTTGAAAACAATTATGTACTTCCAGAAAAAAACCGTCCAAAATTCTGGGAGGGGTGGGGGGAGAGAAAACTTTTGATTTTGGGTTTTACTAATTAGATAGCTTTGTTGTTATAGAAATGATTAGTTTATACTATTATGTAAAAGTAATAAATTGAAGTTGATGCTATTATCTTTTTCTACTGCACTGAAGGGATTTGGAACTCAATGCCTTTTCTTTCTTTTCCCCCTTTTCCTTCCCTTTTCCCTCTCCTGTTTTCCTTCTATTTTCTCTTGTATTTTTGTGTTTTATATTATGAATTATTTTTTTAAAAAATCTGACATAGCAACTAATACAAAAGGACATTAGAGGATCTGTAGTTGTCTTTCTGTAAGCTGCCAAGACTTACTACAACAGCAAGATGGGTGGCATACATGTAAATTTAATAAATAATAAATAAATCTCTAGACACCAGAATGAGCATGTGTAAAACTCATCCTCCCCTTTATTGTGAGATAAGAATATTTTATATCAAGCAGCCTCCCCCCAGTTGAAAGGAATGCCATAATAAACATTATTTGACATCCTTTAAAATGGAATTGAGTTGAGATAAAGTACAATGCCTTAGGAGATAAGAAATGATATTTTATACAAGTGAGTGCTCTTGAATAAAGGATATTTTTGGCTCAGTCCAATTTCTCTCCTTATTCAGATAGTGGGTATGATGACTCTTCTATGGGAGTTTTCTTTCCCAACTGGTGACTAATTAAATTAATTAATATTAGACTGTTGAGTAGAAAAAAGGAGGGGGAGGGGGGTGCCTAAGTCCTCAAAGTTGTGTAAAGAACACCCAATGCAACACAATATGCTTTTTCAGCAGATTCGAGTTTAGCAGTCAACTGTTACAAATTTGGAATAAAAGTGTAAAGAATTTATCTTGCAATGTTGTATATCAACAGTTTTTAATGTATTCATTCATATCATTGGCAGCCGTTGTTGCCGTTCTCAATTATAGCAGGATTCAAAATAGAACACATGGAGAAATGAACTGCACCAGATAGTTTACCCCGTATATTTACAGACTGCAAATCAGGTTTTCTAAGAGGTTGAGATGTAATCAACTCCCTTGAGGTGATTCAAACTCAATTTAACTTAGCTGTAAGTTAACCTGCAAATGTGTAAATGTATTCAGTGAGTGCATTTGTCCTTCATGTTATATGATAGAGATTTAACTTCAGAGAATCTGGGGAATTCAGTTTTAGATTAAAGGAAAGCACCTATAATTTAATAAGTATCTTCCAAAGGTAGTTTGTTATAGAATAGAATAACAGAGTTGGAAGGGACCTTCTAGTCCAACCCCCTACTTAGGCAGGAAACCCTACACCACTTCAGACAAATGGTTATCCAACATCTTTTTAAAAACTTCCAGTGTTGGAGCATTCACAATCTATGGAGTTGTTCCACTGATTTATTGTTCTAACTGTCAGAAGTTTCTTCTTAGTTTTAGGTTGCTTCTCTCCTTGATTAGTTTCCACCCATTGCTTCTTGTCCTGCCCTAAGGTGCTTTGGAGAATAGCTTGACTCCCTCTTCTTTGTTATGTATATCTACATACCAAATTGACATTTTAAAAAAAGCCCTCAGAAATACATTCATAGTCCTAAAAAAAACTTGTGTCATTCTGAATTATTGTTCAGTATCGAATCCCAGATATGTATAGCTTGGGTTCCCGATTCACGAGGCTGGAACATAAATGGTCACATCCTGGTTTGCTAGATTATAGTAATCGTAACCCTGTCATTTCCAAATTCTTTTTTTTTTAATGATCCAAAAGAGTAGCAGGAAAACTACAAAAGAAGGCAGGGTTAATTATAGTGAAGAAGAGATAAGTTAAGAAGTTCAATACTTTTACTTCTTTCACATGAAAGTTGAATTTTTTTAAATACTGAATTTGCATAATTTCAACTGCCTTTTTAAGGTTGTGATTTCAGTTTATCAGTGTTGTGATTTTAATTCATGAGATGGGTTAAGAAGGGATTCTTGCCTTGTAAAGCCAACATAGATATTATGAGATTTACTGAAATTGGTATGCATAATTAAATATTAAGTGGTTTATCAAGATGTGTTCTATCCTAAGAAGTTGTGTGGCTTTCTTTTTGGTTTCCATCCACCTCCATCTGCTTTTTCCATCCATTCTTCTAAGAAATTCACCTGTTCTTTTTAGCCTAATGCAATGCTTTTCGAATCTGGATAAATTACCCCAAATTGGGTAAAAGTGTTTTTTCATTGGGTATCAATTCATGTAATCCAAGCCCAATCCGATGTCTGTAATAGATAATGAAGTTAAAGTTTTGGGAAGCCCTAGTCTAGTAGTTATATACCTGCCTTTCCTTCAGCAACTCTCTCTCCATTATATGCCTTTTCTCAGCTATGTTTTCCTTTCATCATGCCACATAAAATTATACACTGAAATTCTCAGCCTATCATCACCAATTGGAGTTATTTCCTTCTTCCAAATCTATTACTTGTGGGGGTCCTTGGTTCTTGCTGAGCTAGATTGCTTTCCTGCAGACATTTTATTACTCAAATAGGTAATGCCATCAGTGCTAGAATGGAATGGGGCTTGGTCACTCCCCATTCACTTCTAGTATTAATGATGTTACTTTGTTGGGTAATGAAAGGTCATCAAGAAAAGGACAAAGCTCTGAGCGCACCAAGGACCCACAGTTCAAGCCTGAGTTACCTATATCCTCTTTTACTGGTAAGATACATTGTTAGTCAACATCTTATTACCATTACTTCTAACTCTTGAAGAAGTTAGAACCATCACAAATATTCCATCCTAAGGAAGCTCACCAAGTATGTCCTTGGCCACAGTCTTTTAGCAGTTTGACAGACAAAATTTGTTGTAGCTTTCTAATCAGAAAGTATAATCAGGGAAGGGGACTGGAATGGGATTGGCTGCTTGCCCTAATAGGGCAGCAATCAATCACTGATTCTTCTCATTTACAATATTTCTTTGCATGCTAAAGATAATTCTTTGAAAAATCCTCATCTTAGGGTCACTAGGAAAGTCAAGTGTTCAATCATTCAGCGATATGAAAGATCAAGCAATGATGATTTCTCCCACATAATGCATATTAAATAGGAAATTTTTTAAAAAGAATTGTGCTAGATTGTCCCAATGGCATTTTTCAAAAGGCAACTGTATTTTGTTGATTTTTTCCATGACAACATTTCGCTTTTCATCCAAGAATCTTCTTTAGTTCTGAAGAAAAAGAATGTGGTGGCGCACATGATTAGTTGAGTTGACAATCTCTAAGCTTGTGTTTGAGACCTAAGTGCTGCTGTGTGATGATATGAGTTTTCCTCATTTGCTCCAATTCCTGCCAGCCTAGCGATTTGAATGCATGCAAATGTGAGTAGATAAATAGGTACCACTTCCACGGGCACATTAAAAGGGACATGAAAGGAGCTCCCAACTGGGCATTCTCTGGGCCAGCGGTCGCCAACTGGTGTGCAGCTCAATTGATGTGGGCTGCAGAGAAATCTCACCCCCAGAGCACCCCCCCCAAAGCAATTAATCCAGGCTGTGCAGAAACACAAGGCTGCACAGCCCACATGGCCCGCGGGAACCCTCCCTGTCCACTCACTCCTTACCCAACAAACTTGCCTCCTAAATTGCTATTTTTCCTTTTTCCGACCATCATCTGTTCTGCTGCGCCGGGCGATTTCGATTAGCTAGGAAACAGGAAATGGTTGGATTTCTTGCTTTCTAGCTAGTTTTTAGATCTTCGGCTCTGCTTTTAAGCACAGCTGAACCTCCATTAGGACTGAAGTTTCTATTATTCAGTGCAGACTCACAGCAAGCAAATTTGAGAGACTGAGCTGGCAGATAGATAGATCACTAAATGATTCTGTGAGCACCTCAATCTGCCTGCCTGCTTTGCTTGATTTTGGGTAAAAGTTGCTCTTTTGTTTATAAAAAATTCAATATTTATATAAATATTTAAAATATCTACATACAAGCCATGCCCAGCCAGTCACATGACCACCAAGCCACATCCAAAAATTAGGTCATACCCACAGAACCAGTTAGTGGTCCCTGGGATTTAAAATTATGAGTTTGGTGGTCCCTGAGGTCCAAAAGGTTGGTGACCCCTGCTCTGGGCAATGGTGATGTCACTGGCTAATCCTTTCAAACTGGAAGCACCTTGGTATTTCTAACATGAATGAGAGTGCAAGTTCTAAAGAAGCTTCTTGGATGAGAAGCAAAAGGCTTTCAAGGAAAAAACCCCAAGAAAGTCCAGTTGTCTTTTGAAAAGCACCTTTGGGATAACCATGACCTGGATGATTGAGAATTTCCATAGACAATTGCTCTAAATGTTAAGTTCCAATTGAAAGAGTTTTTTTGCTTTGTCTCTCTCACTTTCTAAATACATGCAAGATAATTGGAAGAGGTATTTACATTTGTTCAAGGTTTTTTTTGTAGGAAATAACAGCATTTGTACCTATCTACTGTGAAATAATAGTAAGGTTCAATTTCCTGCCTTCCTCACTTCAAAAAACAGTATACTATCAGAAGGAAGGAATAAAGGGAGGGAGGGAGTAGGGAGGGAGAAAGGAAAGGAGGAAGGGAGGGAAGGAAGGATATCACAGGGATAAAAACAAGTGCCCATCATTATATAATTCAGATCAACTGTGGAAGCCATATTTCACTACTCTTATTATTCAATGTAGTAGTTGTTTGTTTGTTTTAACTGCCTGGAAATTCAGACTCTATTATCAGGCAAGCTGTTTTGGTAAATGGTGATTTTAATGACAAACCCCACAAGGCATAAAATTAGTTGGATTAACAACTTAAGTGACATGCTGTCAGTTGCTGTTTATTTAAATCAAAATGTCACTGCTCAAAAGTAAATCAGGTATACAGAAAGCTGGGGATTTCTGTCACCCATGGATTATAAAATTATTTGTCCTGTGTCACTTTCTAGGAGATAAGGGTAAATTATATCATTCAACACATTTCAACATTATGGGTCTTCCTGGATGATGGAAGTGTAGACATTTGGTGAGTGTTTGCATGGCCATCTGATCAAACAACTGGAAAGAACAAGTTTCTCCATCACTTATGTTGAACATGAACTTCCAAAATTCCAAGGCAGTTGCAGTCTTAAAGTGATGGGATTAGGAATCTAACACATTAGGGAATTCCAAGATGGGAAAAGTGTTATAGAGTTTATTTATTAGATTTATATTCTGGCTTTCCTCTAGGACAGAGGTGCCAAATTCAAGGCCCAAGGGCCAGATCCAGCCCACGGGGTGCTTAGATCTGCATTTGGGGCTGCCCTGGAAACAGTGAAGGACAGGCCCATGGTGCCTCTGCAAACAAAAATGGAGGTCATGGCTCTCCCAAGCTTTTCACTGGCAGAGGGTTGCAGTATGCCACCCCAGCTGAAAACAGAGCTTGTGAGGGCCATGTGTACCCCCCCCCCCAGTTCCGTTTTCACTCGCAGAGGGTTGCAGGATACCATTGCAGCCGAAAATGGAGCTCGGGAGCCCGTTTTCGCTGGCAGGGTGCTTGGGCCACCACAAGTACCCCTGACACAAGTGACATCATATGGCCATGCCCACCCCGGCCCTCTGAGGTCAAACACAACTCTCAAGCGGCCCTCAATGAAATGGACTTTGACACCCCTTTTCTGTGACCTTAAAGTGACTTATAGAGTAATCACTTCCCCAAAGTTTTCACAAGTCCTCTGTGAGATAGGGTAGAGAACAAAACTCACCCTGTTCAGCTTTCCTGACTGAAGGATGAATCTTGAATATTTTAGGTCCAAGATTGTAATTTTTAATACACTATTCCACATTGGCCCAAATATGCTTTTTCAAAAGGCATTTGGAATTTCTTTGTTTTTCCTTGAAGATATTTCACTTCTCAACTAAGAAACATCTACAGTTCTGAAGTTCTGTCAGAACTGAAGAAGCTTGAGAAGTGAAACATCTTCAAGAAAAAAAACAAAGAAAGTCCAGATGCCTTTTGAAAAAGCACCTTGACCTGGATGACTGAGAATTTCCATAGATATTTCACACTGGCTTTCTATACTGTTGAGTGACACAAATGGCCAGGGCTTGCTGTTACTAAATGGAGTAGAACTTTCAATGGAACAGGGCCAGTTTCACATCAAACTAGATCAACAGACAGGCAATCAAGAGGTGAGGGGGGGAGGAGAGCAGGAGAAGAGGGGGGAAGAGAGAGAGAGAAAAAACTGCTCAGGGCGAAGAACCAAGGCATATTTACTTTTCCAGTTTTTCCATTTTCGCATAAATACGCTTCATTCCCGGATACAAGTTCAGGAGCGTTGTCATTTACATCAAGAACTTTGATAGCAACAGGTACTCGAGATATTTGACTGGGATTTCCTAAGAGAAGAAAAACACAGCAGAGGGGAGGACAAAAAGAAAAGAGAAAAGAGAAAGGTAAGCATACTTCGTACCATACTACTAATGACATCCAGGGCCCAAAATAGATATACATTTTTTTTGTGCTGAAAGCTCAATGACCCTTTTCTAGTTCTAATAATTGGGCTGATTGATTTCAAATTGGAGGGAGAAGGAAATGAAGATACAGAAAAGGGTAGTATTTAACAAAGGGGAGAAGGGAGGACAAATAAATCACTACTGAAAACAGCTTCTGCTAGAGATTAAGTTGATGAAGACCTTGGATTAAATTGGTAGATGTCTTCTTTCTGATGAAGTTTGCATTGTCTTATTGATCAAGAGAATTCTGCATGGAGGAAGAGAGGCTGTAAGCAACCAAGATTTATTTTTATTCTTATCTTTCTCAGTTTACTCTATTAGCCAATCCGGACTACACATCTATTATTTCAACTTAGTAAAAAGGAAAGGGGAAAAGAAAGGAAGGGAGAGGGGGGGAGGGAAAGAGAGAGAGAGAGAGGAGACAGAAGGGTTAAAAAAAATCCAACAGAAGGGTTCTAAAATATGGAAAGCATAAATAATAGAAGTTGAGAGGAATCATTAAAAAGAAAAGGACAAAGAATATCTCCTACTTATTCAAGATAGTCGGAATATTCTCGGATTGATTTATTTGATACAGAAGTGGGCTTTTGAACTCATGAAAATTATGCACAGAGGGGGAAAAAGTCTGACCCACATTTATAACTACAATTTATCATACTTCTCTTAATTCATTGCCTGGTTCCTATGTGTGTTTGCTTTTATATATCCTATTTTGTTTCATACAGTTAATTTTCCAAACAAAGACCCAATCCAAAGATTTAGTTTATAATTGTTGCTTATAAATAACATTTGCAGTCTTCTCCTTGACATATCAGGCTTTGAAGGTGACAATTTGCTGAAGATAGAATAGAATGATATACATTTGTTCCATATATGTGGATGCAAGTTAAGGCTGTATTGTGCAATTCCATAAGAATAAACCAGCCAGCCTTTGTCAGTATGTCAACTGCTCACTAGCTGCCAAGAAACTATATAAAGAAGAACAGTGAGAATCACTTTGTCATTCACTGATGTATGGTATACATTGAACATGAAAAAAACAATGTAAGTTCTTATCAGGGTGAGAATCATATCAGGGTATGTTCTTATTACATGCTGAATATCCAGAACTCACAAATATGTGCACGCACACAAAGAGAGAGAAAGAGAGAGAGAGAGAACACATTGAATTTTCAGTGCCAAGTGTCACATTTAAGCACTCAAGATTTCCTTTTATCTAAATTAACAGAACAATGGCAGTTCAAATTTTAGAGACATTATACTGAAATGCAATTAATTAGATAAGCTTCTGAAGAAATTATTTATGTCTCTTGTGGCTGGTCCCAAATGTTTGTCTTTCATCTGAGCCACAAACATGAAACCTACAGTTATTATTCTTAGAAACTGGAAAACAATCTATATAACAATCTATATAACATTAAACAATCTATATAATTTGCAAAACTCACTGGAGAAAAACTTACTGAATACACAAATTGTCAAGATGGACAGACCAAGAAGATTACTTAAGACACAGCTGGAAAATTATTTTTTTCTATTTCTTTGCTCCTGTTGCTCATGAAAGTTTGATTCACTGCTGCCTGATATGTTACATAGCATGGGAGGATCTAAGTCTCAGTCCAGGTTTTGCTCCTGAAATACAACTATTTTTATTTCAGAGTCGAAGATCATCAGAAACCCTACACTGAATGTCCTCCCATAATGAGAAGTTGTAAGATGCTACATGGAACTAGTCCTTTCAGTGATAGCCTTCTGATTTGTTAATGTCATCCCTGATATATATTCGGAGTTGAGTTGATTGTCTTTTTGGTGTCAGCCAAATTTAGTTTATTTTATCAGACAGTTTAATCAATGCATGAACTAACGTTAAGCATGCATACCACTTAGAAACTTCTGAACTACTCTAGTTCTTGCTTGTAAAGGTTGTATTGTGTATTTTAATTAGGATATTTAATTGTGCACTTGTATTAGGATCTTTTTTTTAACAAAAACAATATGGTTTAGTATGTCATGAGTTACTCCTGAAAAAAAAAGAGATCCTTCAGAAGAGCAAGAAACTCTTTATGCCATTCCTGATTTGTATCCTCATCATGCTACCTAGCTGTATTGGCATTATGCTAAATCAGCCTTCACAATCACAGACAAGCAGAAAAAAATTCAATAGGTCATCTTCATCCTTGTGCAATACCACCTCATTTGGCAGTGCCCCATGCAGCAATAGAACCTATAATACACAATTAAACTGATATCGACATATTTAATACAAAGGCCTGGATAGTTCTTAAGCATGAACTCTTTTCAAAAAGAGATTGGACAACCATTTGTCTGAAAGGGTATAGGGTTGAACTCTTCTAACTCTGTTATTCTCTTAAGAGGTTTATCATTGTAGCCCAGATAGCAGCATATATAACAAGGTTTTATGCAACAGCATGGAAGATTCATCAAACCCTGGTGGGCCAATTTTCTTCAATGTATTCTATGTTACTATAATTCATTTACATGTTAGATATTATTACTTTGTTGTAATTTTAAATGTTATCACATTTAATAGAATTTTAGTATTTATGTTATACTGATACTTTAATATAGGCTGCCTCCTAAACCTCATAGATACCACTTAGGTTGTTTTACAAACATATTTTAACTCTGCCTTAAACTTTATTTTATCATCCATTAATATACTACATTCATACATTCATTCATTCATTTGTTCATTTGTTTGTTCATCCATCCATTCGTTCATTCATTCATTTATACAGACTGCTCTGCTTGTACCGGTCTACGCCTGCAATAAACTGAATAAGCCTATATGGTACAATGTGGTCCATGTTATTCAGATTTGTGTCCAGATTGGATTAGCAGATGCCCTATATCTTCACTCTCAACTTCACGGTCCATCCACTACACGAGAAGGATGCCACTGAATGGAACACTTACACTTTCAGTCTCCACATTCTACCCCTGTACTTATATAGGATATCACCAGGTTCTGTCTCATCCCTTCCAGCAACTTTCATTCCTTACTCCTGGGAAGTGATTCCATATTTCTCTCTGTGATCCAAGGCCCCAGTCACTCATGGCTATATTGCTGGCTCCCAAGAGTGGGCCATTCCTTGTGCCTATTTCATTGTGCCCATCCTTGACAAGCAACTTCCTTTCCATTGATTTACACAAGCCTTTAGAGGATACTCTTACCCCAAGGGACAGAACAAGTCCCTTTTACATTGCCTGGAGAACAGTGGGAATCATTTTCTGTTATTGTTCTGTTCTGGAATTTCAAGTGCAAATGTAACTATGCCACACTAATCAAGGCAAGATAATATGGGCCAAACTTGATTTTATTAAACTCGAAGTGTTGAAAGCAAACAAAATTTAATTATATCCATTATTTGGCTTCATATCAACCCTAAGTTTGCAGAGCTAAAGCCCTTCACATTTATATTCACATTGATCAAGATTGTATCTAGTTGTATAACATATCAAGATAACCTATTTCCCAATCACTTGTTTTTACTCTGTGTTGTTTTAATCCTTTTCTCCTCCTTCCTCCTGCTTCTCTCATTGTTATCTTTAATATCTGATGTGACGTGAACAATGTAGAGGGAGGAAGAAAGAAAGAAAGAAAGGAAGGAAGGAAGGAAGGAAGGAAGGAAGGAAGGAAGGAAGGAAGGAAGGAAGAAAGAAAGAAAGAAAGAAAGAAAGAAAGAAAGAAAGAAAGAAAGAAAGAAAGAAAGAAAGAAAGAAAGAAAG